TGTCACTTTTTTATGTGTTTTATGGGTTCCAACCACCGGTGTTTTCCATTCAGGAACGGGAGGCTCGGGTGCCATCCGCCCACGGGGCTGCCCTACGATTTAAGCCGATCTGGAAGAGAGCCAGGAGGGCACTCCTGAGGGATAACTCAACATATAAAAGGAGGGCCAACAAGAGAAGCTTTGTCCAACCTGATTACCAAGTAGGCCAGAAGGTCTGGCTGTCCACGAAAGATCTACCCCTGTGGGTAGATTCAAGGAAGTTGGCACCCCGGTTTATCGGTCTATTCCCCATCAGTAAGATCATCAACCCTGTGACAGCCCGTCTTCAGCTTCCTCGTACCCTGCGCATTCACCCCACTTTCCACGTCTCTCGTCTTGAGCCTTTTCTTCAGTCTCACTTTGAGCCCTCCCCCAGACCCCCTCCTCCCGCCCGTTTCATTGATGGTACCCCGGTGTTCACTGTCAGGAGACTCATCCGCTCCAGACAGTGGGGTCGGGGTATTCAGTATTTGGTAGATTGTATGGCTTATGGCCCTGAGGAGCGTTCCTGGGTATCCAGTCGCCACATTCTTGACAAGTCCCTGATTAGGGCTTTTCACCGTGCCCAACCTGGCGGCCCTTCGGGAGCTGGGCCGTAAGGAGAGGACTCTGTCACGTTTTGACCCCTGCCCATGCATTTATCTATGTTCTGCTCCTCTGGTCATTTTTGGTTTATGCTCTTTTCTGGCCACACTCCCACTGTCATTTCTAGCTGCCTGTCAATAACCCCTGCAAAGCCTGCCTACCTGATTCTCCCTGATCACAGTAATCAGTGCTTATACTCTACACCTAGTGCCAGCCCTTTGTAAACTCAGCTCTTGCCACAGCAAGGTGCCAGATTATTAAAAGCCTCACAGCAAGTAAATTATCCAACATTCTTCATTCCTAGTTTCTTCGTTTATGACCACAGCTTCACTCTTGACTCCTCGCCTTGACTTTGCCCCTGTCTGGATACCACGCCTGCAGCTTACACGGTACAACCTCACTCTCCTCTTCGACCACCACTACGGATCATCCTTTTGCATCTTTTGCCCGTTCACTCTGCCCCTGGCACTCGACCCCTGCTACGTCCCTTGATTCTGTTTCCTGCCCAGCCCTCCAACGCTCTCTGTTTCTGCCCTGCTCCTGCCACAGAAGATTGGACCAGAACCGGGGCCCAGATCCTCCCCAGATGCCGCCTTTGATAAATAAATCCTTTTTTTATATATATTTTCCTGAGTCCTGTGTTGTACTGATCCATACAGACCTGTTACATTTTACCTAAAATCCACAAACAAGGTGTACCTTTAAGACCAATTGTTAGCATGATTAACTCTGTCACTTATAACGTTTCTAAATATCTGGTGTCTGTACTCATCCCTTTAGTTGGCAGCTCAGAACACCACATACAGAACACCATGGACTTTGTGGATAAGGTGAGGGATGTCATCATGGAGACTGATGAAACAATGGTCTCTTTTGATGTCACATCACTCTTTATGTGCATTCCTGTTGATGAGGCAGTAGAGGTGGTCAGTTTAAGGTTAAAATCAGACACCACTCTGAACATCAGGACCACGCTTTCCACAAAACAACTGTGTCAACTTTTGAAACTGTGCCTGCAGTCAACCTACTTCACATATTGGGAGCAATATTATAGGCAGAAACATGGGTGTGCTATGGGGTCTCCAGTTTCTCCTATTGTTGCCAACCTGTACATGGAGGAGGTAGAAAAGAGAGCCTTGACGTCCTTTTCAGGGACACCACCAAGTCATTGGTTCAGGTATGTTGATGACATGACACCTGGGTTAAAATTAAATCTCAGGAAGTCCAACATTTTACTGATCACATCAACTCTGTGGATAAATATATCAAGCTCACACAAGGAGATGTAAAAAATTATAGGTTGGCTTTCTTGGACTGTGAGGTCTCAGTTTCTGATAGAGGACATTTGCAAACTGAGGTGTACCACAAACCCACCTACACAGAGCAGTATTTACAGTTTGATTCCCATCACCCTTTGGAGCACAAGTTAGGAGTCATCAGAACTCTGTACCACAGAGCAGGCAGCGTCCCCACTAACTCATGAGCCAGGCAGAAGGAGAAATCCCACAAAAAACAGGCTCTAGAGCAATGTGGATATCCTAACTGGGCCTTCCTGAAAGCAGAGAAGAAACCCAAACAGGACTCCAGTCAGCCATCAGTTGAAAAGGAGGAACCCAGACCCAGACCAGTGGTCATTCCAAATGTTGAGGGAGTATCAGAGAAACTGAGACAATTATTTTCTAAAGACAATAGCTATGTTTACATGCGCAGAATTCTTTGACCGGATTGAAATGTGTTCTGTTTGAATAATTCAAATGTATCGTTTACATGGGCACAATCCGTTCACGATGTGCGTTTACATGCAACGGGCTTTGATTCTGAACAGAAGTACTGACATGCGCAGAGTGGTAAACTCTCCTTAAAAAACCACCGAAGAAGAAGTTATTTCCGTGTAAACCATAGAAGAAGAAGTTCTCTTTCCGGGACGAACGTAAACACACTTGAGCGACAAAAATGGACCCGCGACAGGTTTTAATGACTGTGATGGAGTTGTTACTGCACTCCCTGCTTGAGCTACAGGCGAAGCAACGCATGCTTTTAGTCTTTTTTCTTCGTAGGATGAGAGCGCGGAAGGAAAAATACATCCGAGAAAGTTCTTTGCTGCCGGCAAGCTTAATGCTGCTGCCACTACCTCCACAAACGACCAGAAACCAGTGGATGAAAGTTCGAAGTAAAGACTGGTGGGAGCGTGTGGTCCTCACGCAGTTCACCGACCAGGAGTGGAAGCAGAATTTTCGCATGACACATCTGTCTTTCACAAAGTTGTGCACTTTGATGGAGAGTCATTTAGCCCCAGAAGAGGTGACTGTTAGAACTCCAATTCCGCTCATGATGCGAGTTGCAGTTGTTCTGTATAAACTGGGCAGCTGTGCCGAATAGCGAGTCATTGCAAATCAATTTGGAATAAGTAAGAGCAGTGTTAAAAATTGTGTGTACATGTTTTGTAAAAGCATGGTGAGAGGGCCAATTAAACAGCTGATCCGAGCACCAACTGACATGGAGGCACTGGAGATCGCCAGAGCTTTTGAGGCTTCCCATCACATCCCTCATATTATGGGTCTCATCGATGGATCACACATCCCGGTTCTTCCCCCCTCTGATGGATATAAAGACTTTGTTAACCGTAAAGGCTGGCCATCCTATGTCCTCCAAGCTGTTGTGAACAACTGCTGGTAAGACAAATACACGCTGTATGCTTAAATAAACTTGTTTTTCTTTCTTTTTCTACCTGTCTATGCTTGATACTGTCTGTATTTATTATTAATTACTGTTCTTCCTCTGTTTTTCTCAGTTTCTGGAGCATCAGTTGCAAGATGCCAGGCAGTGCCCATGATGCCAATGTCCTGCGCCACTCTGACCTCTATCAAAGGGCTCATCTAATGCCAAAAGTAAGGCTAATATTTACTATATTGTATTTATTATTTCTACAACTATAAACTATAAAGTAGAGATACTTAGCTGTAAAATTATTTTTTTTAATGTTTGTTAGAAGCATGCCTTTAAACGAATGGTTAAATGTTGCCAATATTTGCTATATTGTATTTAGTATTACTACAACTATTACAGCTAAGGTTCTCAAAGTAGAGATACATAGCTGTAAAGTTTTATTTAAAAAAAAAAGTTTGTTTGAACCATGCCTTTAAACAATGTCTAAGTAAAATACTAAATATTAGTATGTCCTTTTTTTGCGGTCTGTGAGGAACATTGAAGGAAAGGACGTCAGTCTCCTCGTTGTTGGTGACCCTGCATACCCGCTGTTGGACTGGCTCATCAAAGGACACCCAAACTCTCCTCGTCTGACTCCTCAACAAGAGTCATTTAATGTTTACCTTAGCTCAGTCAGGGTGGGCGTAGAGATGACCTTCGGGTTGCTGAAGTCACGGTGGAGAGTTCTTCTAAAAAGAAGTGACTTTCATTTCACCTTTGCTCCAAAAATGATCGCCACCTGTTGTGCACTCCACAACTTCTGCCAGAGGGAGAGGGATTATGGCAACAGCAACTGGTTGGAAGAGGCACGTGACCGTGCAAACAACTACCCTCAGCCTAACCAGCCAGTGAATCTTCAGTGTAGTGTTGGTGGAAACGGTGCAAGAGAGGCACTGACTGCATATATGTCCAAGTTTCCACTCCGTACAGGCCATCTGCATTAAAGGGGCTTTTTAAATATACAATATATACTTGTCATGTATGTGTTCAGATGCAGCTAACATTTGTATAAAGATATTATAACAAAACGGCAAATAATACTAGTGTACATCTGAGCTCTTTAATGGACCAAACATTTTAATAAATTCTTGTAAACATTTTATATTGCTTGTTGGCACTGTGTGAAATGTGTTTCATTCTCAGTGCAATTTGAGGTAGCCTACATCACAAAAACATAAAAATTATACATTCAAAAAGTTTGTGCAAAACAGACAGTGTGCACAGATCATCACATCTTGTAATGAAAACAGAAAAAAACATTCTTTGGTCATTTAAAACTACAGTAACGTGCAATTCAACAGTAACTTCTTTATCAACTCATCCTGTACTTTCAGAATTACAATATCAAAAAATATCTATATATATATAATATGAAACTTTAGCTGCTGCTCAAATAACAAACTTTTTTTTAACTTTAGTTTAGGTCATGGAGGTGGTAATCCGAGTTGTAGCTTGGGTTCTGAGGAAATTGAGCAGACCGGCTTTGACCTGGGTATTGATGCTGATGGTAGGGAGGAACTGGAGATCTTCCCTGTGGAGGTGGGGTCATTTGAGTCATGATGGACTTTAATCCATCAAAACATTGCCTCACTAGGCGCTCAGTTGAGAGTGTGTTTTCTTCTAAGAACCTTACAAACAACCTTTCTTCTCTTTGCTGCCATTGTTCCTGTTGTTCTTCTATCCATTTGTTCTGGGACTCTTGCATCTTCTGGTAGAAGGATTGCTGTTCGGTGGCCCAAGTCTGCATAACCAGAGTTCCCTCGTGGTCCTGCAATGATGTAAAACACTATTACTTGCTTGGATGCAGTACTAACATAATCTCTCTAAACACTGTATAAACATTTGTTACTGTTTTTGTCATCTGGAACACACAACTTACTCTTCCTTGATGTCCTCGTCTGTTGAAAGTTTCTTGGACCACTGTCTTCTGCCACTGTTGTTTGTTGTGTGCTGCTGTCAGCTGCTTCATCAAAGCTGGACTCATCATCTGAAAAAGAAAAAAATAAAGTCTAACTGGTCCCCTGGTATGTTGAAATTTGTTAGGTTAATTATCTGGTTAGTTGGGGTAGTGTTATAATCCACAATATAGGTCTCATGTTCTCTACTGTGTACAATCCTTGGAGGTATAATTATGCTAGCCCTAAAGCTACTCTTGCTTCTTATTATAATTACATTTTAACATATTTGTTGTATCCCAGTTACACCAAGTAATACAGTACAGAGGGTTAATGTGGCTTGAAGAGTATCTTACCGGAAAGGATGCTTTGTTCCGGATTTGCTTCGGGGCTGTAGTCCTCAGATTCCTCCTCATAACCTTGGTCCACACCGCTGCCTGTCGTGTTGGCAGTGGCCGCTCTCTCATCAGTTCGTCCATCAACACGTAAAATGAAAAAGTGGTGGGGTCGGAGCCACTTCTCCCGTTCTTGTTCTTAGCTTGGTAGTACTTAGCTTTCAAGCTCTTCCAGCGTTTTTTTATTTGCTCAATTGTTCGATGGATTCCGGCTTCTTCCAGTTTTTCATGCACTTGCTTAAATAACTCCGTGTTCCTACACTTTCGACCGTCAAGGCGTTCGATAATTTTGAGTTCTTTTAACGTTTCGATTAGAAATGTTGTATCGCTCACCGACCAGTTCTGCTTCCCCGCCATGTTAGCGTCTACACATTAGCCAGGCGGAAAAGGAAACGCGTAGAGGTACGCGCCGCACATGCGCAGTCAGGTCATTTTTTCACCATCAGATAAAAACGAACAGATCAAGTGTTTACATGCGCACCGATCGGGCCACGGATCGGCGTAAACCACCCGTTTCGATCTGATCACAAATTATAACGGATCGCGCCGAATACACAAAAAATAACCCGAACGGAGCGTTTACATGACACACTTTTGTTCCGACCGGCCATCTGATCCGGTTACTTTTGTCCATGTAAACATACCCAAAGTCCCAGTGGATTTTAAACCCCAAAATAAATTACGGCAAAGACTGGTTCATCCCAAAGATCCAGTCCCCCGGCACAAACAGAGTAATATTTTGTATGCTGTTCAGTGTCAGGAGGGCTGTGATCAGTCTTATATCGGGGAAACTAAACAGCCACTGGCCAAAAGGATGGCCCAGCACAGAAGAGCAACACCATCAGGCCAGGACGCTGTGGTCTATACTCATCTCCAGGCCAGCGGTCACTCTTTCAGGGATGAAGATGTTCACATCCTGGACAGAGAGGAACGATGGTTTGAGAGAGGAGTAAAGGAGGCCATCTTTGTGAAAAGAAATCGTCCATCATTAAACAGGGGTGGAGCCTCCAGGTTCAACTGTCCCCCTCTTACAATGCTGTGATTGCTAGTATCACTCAGCCCTCTGTGAATAGTAAACAGCCATCAGTGTGCTAATGATCCATTGTTAGGCTGATGGTCCTCCTTGATCATGTGAGCAGCTGGTTTTGGTTGTCAGCAGCAAACTGGTTGATCCACCCTGAGAAGGTGCTATTTAAGAGACTGAGCTGAATACAGCACCTCAGACTGAAGAAGTCTTTCGAATGAAAGATGAAACGTTTCTACACTTTTTTGTTTTGTTTTGTTTTTTGAATGTCCAGAGGACCAGACTTAACTTTTTTTAGATATTTCTCTGTCCTGTTTTTCAGAAAATGATTACCTGTGAAAAAGTCTTTTAGCTGGAAGCTGTTTTCTTCAGAGGCCACAATGTTCTCTAGTTAGTCAAAACAATTTTCTCACAGCTGTTGTTTTGCACAAAGTCTCTTTGTGTAAAAACAGTTCGCCTTGGACCCCCGAACTGAGCAGTTCGTCTCCGACCCCGATCCGAAAGACGGTTCATCATTGGACCCGATCCTAGAGGTCATGCCAAGGTCCACTCGTTCAACTCCTGAGCAGATAAACATGTCGCTCAAATTACAATTGTTAGAGGTTTAACTAACTGCAGAAGATGAAGCCTTTTCTCACTGCAAGACTCACGTTCTCGGCTGAAAGTTGCAATAGATGATGCAACTTCTCATCAGCTGTTGCCCTCACAGACCCTGAAGCTGTCACAGTGACGGTCAGATACCTTGGGCAGTTCCTGGTGAGTCCTCCTCATGGTGTCTCTGGTCAGATCCACCAGAGAACCCCAGAAGACAAGTGATACCTTCAACACTGACCCAGTAAGGAGCAGAACCTGGTGACATGATGCCTTGGTCTGGTTATGCTATTTTAAGCTGATGCAACTTGATAAATCAGTTCCTGTCTTGCAGTGACGATAAATGACTTTATCTGATCACATTAAATAACTTCTTTCAACCAAAATCCAAAGTAAACTATTTATTAAAATAGTCAAACTTTGTCTAAATTCATGCGCGTATAAAACTGAAATAATTCCTGATCATAGAGTCAATTTAACCTTAGATAAGAGAATTAAGCCTTGATTGATTCATTATTATTGTTTGTTTATTAATGTTGTTGATTTTTAGTTTGATTATTTTTGTAATAAAACTTCAAATACAACTTTGGTCTCTTCATTCAGATGAATATTAATTTGTTTTGGTATAGAACTCCCTGTAATTAACAGATTCTACTTCAGTGACTGATTCTGATTATTAAAGGGTGAAAATATTAATTAAGTTGTTGTTGGTCAGTAAACTGACCAGCTGGTGCCACACTTTAACGAGAGCTAAATAAATAAAATAAATGTAGTGAAAGGGAGTGGAGAAAGTGTCACCCTTCTTCCTCCATCTCACATCCTTCTTATTACTACAAATATGTGACTTCTCCAGTTTTTCCAAAACTTCTAAAGATCAGCAGAATTATACAGGACACACTGAGCTCTGCTTGCTAAATTCTAAAAACAGGGTCACACTTTATTTGCTTGATTTGTTTTACAGCGAATAGGGCAGGTGGCATTTGTTAACAACCTCAGAGATGTACGAGGTGCATTTATTTGGACAGACGGCTGGTTCTGAGCTGCTCCAGCAAAGTGCAGAGTTAATTTGTCCCTCTGCTGCTGCTGGAGGAGGAGTGAACTTTGTCATTTTGAAACCGCATTCGATGGAGTTGATATTTAAACAACAACAGAGTGAAAGATTATAGGGGGAAAGTATTAGGATGAATAAAATCAGCTTCTTTTGGTTCAAACGATGTGCAGCCTTATATTCATTATAAAAAAAGATTTGTAGGAAAGTCTTAATGTTCATTTGTAGTTTTTTGTTTAAAATATTGTTTTTTCATGCAAAACTGTTAAAAATGATTTAGCTCCCAGCAGCACTAACAAAATCATTAGTCACTGGTTCTAAATAAACATGCCTGTTGAATGTAGTTGATGTTCTTGTTGACTTCCTGTTGTGGGAGGA